GTCAAAACGAAACAGCTTCAACTCCAAAATATAAGCGGGTCATGGATTGAAGAAAAATATGTAAAAATCAACTCTGTAGCCCCATAAAACACGGGTTTATGGAGAATTGATTAATTGATTATGAAATTAAACCTAAGAATGTAATGAAGATTGAAGTATACGTTTAACATTTTAAAAATTGCATTGACTTAATTTAATTAAGTTTATCTTTGGTTAAATAAATTACGAAGAACCACCTCGACAAAGATATATTTTCGAAAAAAATTCGGCAAAAAACATTATCAATACACCCAAACATATTTTACAATAGTTATTACAATCAAACAACTGTAAAACAGCAAAAAAAAAGGAAGCCTATATATGATGGATGTACATTACAGACTGCTATCAATAAAAGCATTTAAGCGTATATGCCCTATGTTTAATTATGTAAACTAAATTATAATCGTTGACAATTTAAGGCCACTGAAGAAAATAAACAGCAATCACCAACAAAAGCTTTTAGCACATTAATGTATGAGATTTAAAATCCTGAGGCCACCTTGTCCACAGTGGGGATTAAAATTGATCACAGAGTGATTCGATTAAAAATATATCGTAGCCTGAGTAATTACATGTCTGGGAAGTTATTGATTAGTTAAAGTAAGGCAAGTATTAAGCTTTTAATATATTAATTTTTGGACCACACAAAGACAGCAAGCTACACGTAAGAGTTTAATTATTTTAGAATTAAACTAGACTACCCGTCATCCGTTGGATAACTGTGGGTTTCGGGGGTCATCCATAAAAAAACATCACGTCTGTCACTCAGAGGCGTAGCGACCCTTCCCTGTGCCCGGGGACAAACTTTTCGATTTGAACACCCCCGCCCCCCCCCCCCGGCAAGATTTCGATATGCACCCCCCTCAAACTTTCGATATGCACCCCCCCTCAAGATTTCGATTTGACCCCCCCACTCAAACGTTCGATTTGCACCCCCCTCAACCTTTCAATTTATTTTTCCAACCCATTTTGGCGCCCCCTAAGGTCGGCGCCCGGGGACATATGTCCCCCCCACCCCGCCCCCCCCTCCTCGCTACGCTACTGCAGTGTCACTTATCGTCACAAAAAACAGACCCCACATTCCAAAATATGTTTTTTATCTTTTAAAAACACCAAAAACACCGATTTCGGACTATCCCTTCATATACTGACGTCACAGGTGACCTACTCAACTCTACTTCACCTGCCCAGTGTCCCGCCAAGTCTCAGACAACATGTTTTTATCGTTTAAAAAACTATTCCAGCCGAGCATGTCTCTGACCACACTATCTTTTCATATGCTTAGGACAAAGAAACAGATGAACTCTACTTCACCTGCCCTGTATCCCGCCAAGTTCAGATAGGCAACTTTATCATTCACATCTAAAAAAAAAAATTGAAAAAAAAATATCATTGCCATATTGGTCTAGAACCTGTGCCACTCGAATGAGAGCCGATTACACTACCAACTTAGCTATTTACTCTTGGCGTCGCAAGTGAATTTTTATACTATACTATGAGTCTCCTTATGCAACTTCATTTACGCGCATAGATCTAGAACTTAGTCTAGTAGCAGTAACTTTCAAATTAAATTTTATCTTAAATTAGCCAAACAAAGATTTGTATAAAATAAAGAAGGTCTGAAATTATCTAGATCTAGATAGAATTATCTAGATCTAGATTCTACGACTCGTTTGCTTAATTAAGTCTTAAGTTTAGTTTTTCTACGCTAATAGGCCCGGAGCCAGCATTTCAAAATTACCATATTCCAAACAAAGATTTATATAAAATAATAAAGGTCTAAAATATTTTAGTATATAGAAAATCATTATTAACTAAATCTAGATAGAAAATTATCTATATTTTAGATCTACGACTGAGCTATATTTAGAATTTACGTTTATAATTTAGCAAAATTACCGGCATCGAAGCCGCGTATGAATCTTAAGCTACGCAAATAGGCCCGGATCCAGCATTTCAAAATTTGCATAGTCGAAACAAAGATTTATACAAAATAATAAAGGTCTAAAATATTTTAGTATATAGAAACTCATTATTATCTAAATCTAGATAGAATTATCTATATTCTAGATCTACGACTGGTTTGCTTAAGTCTCGTTTTTTTTTGGATTGTATTTATAACTAATAAATCTTTGATTTGACCTAGATTCTAGATCTAGATCTATAAACAACTTTCTTGGACAGATTGTAGATCTAGAGAAATTTATCGTAAAAACTAAATGAAAAAGACAGTTGAAAATTGATATAAGTGTTGGAACGTAATAAATACAGCAAACGGACGTATTGTTAAAGTTATGACCGACAGAAAATTAGATTTAGAACGCGTTAAACTTTTGAATGGGAACACAATTTTCTTCGCTAGACGCCGCCATTTTATTGTACTAAATAGTAAACAAAAAACTGTGACGTCACTGTCCCGCCGAGTGTAGTGGTCGTTCAAATCTTTTAAAAAAAATAGGGTTAATCTACCTATGAATAAATCAATAAATTAATTAACGTCTTTAAATAAATGTGTGATTAACAGTCTGTCATAAAACAAAAAAATTTCTCTACCTACATACTATTTTACAGCTCTCCACGATGAGTGCAACCATGTGCAATAGTCAATCAGCCAAACAATAAAACAAACAAAAAAACAAACAAACAAATAAATATTCAAACATGTAAACAATCTTGAGTTTTAGTAGTATATATAGATAGATTAAATTTGAACGTGCTAACCAATAAGTGATTACTAATTTCAAAAGAGTTGTAGGTATTTAGATAATAACAAGATTCTTTTCAATTTATGAATGAAATACTAAAATTATTATAAAAATACAGTAAGTAACAAGACGTATTCAAGTTTTGATACAAATTACAATTTTTTTATAAGCAGACTGATTAGACCAGCCATGACATACATATTGCTTTTGATTGCGTTTGTGATTATCGCTAAGTCGAATAACACATTGTAAGTTGAATTTATAGCAAAATAAATGCTTTGTGTTAAAAAAATATCATTATATTTATCTTGATTTAATAGTTGTTTGTGCGTATGTATATATTTAACGATATGTTCCAGCAATAATATCAATTTGTAATTGAATATATATGATTTATCGTTAGATGAGAAAATGTAAAGAAATTGGAGATTTTACTTAATTTGACAAAAGAATTTGTTTGATAGGTTTAGTTATGTATTTGTTTGCTTTAACGCGTATTTCTTTGTAATGTGTAGAAATATATTTTGCCTTTACCAATAATATAAACAATTTATAAAAAACATTAGATTTAAGTTTTAAATATAAATTTCAGTCAAACTTTAAATATAACCCATTATAAAAAAACATAGTTTTATTATATAATGAATTTTACATTGGGTCTCTATTTAACTTGAATTATTTCAGGCCCAAAATAAATAAGGAAATAAATGTGATGTTTCCCTTTACTTCTAATGTCTTTTCTTTTCAAATCAGTCGGTTGTATGCATAAAAAATAAGCAGAAATAATTTAATTAAAGAAGTGATTATGCGGATTGATATATATATATATATATATATATATATATATATATATATATATATATATATATATATATATATATATATATATATATATATTACTATAGTGCGGCAGAACCTATATACTATTTCCTTATGTTCAGTACACGTTCAATATTTTCTTAGTGTTCCGTAGCTCAAAATAAGCGGGTGCTCAAAGGACGGACACGTCTGCGTGACTATTCGGTGCTGTTTTGGGTACACATGCAGGTTGTATAACATAAAAAAAAAGTTTGGGGTATGGGCGGGGGAGGTAAGTGTACCTGTTTAGGTGAACGTTGGCGTTGATGTGAATGTGTTTGTGTTGTTTTTTAGTGTGTGTACCGGATTGTGTTTAATGCACGTGTTTGTGTACGAACTCGGAAATCCGTAAGAAATCTTAGTCCGGAACTATATGGTATTCTATGTTATGATGGTGGGTATTTAATATGTTTATTGTATGAGTCGTGTATACTAAAGTACATACCCCACATAATTAAAATGAAAATAAAATCTTAAACTCATAAGAAACCAAGTAAAATGCTTTTTAAAAAATATTATTACTAGAGAATATATACAACGAATTTATAAAACTATAATTAAATTTAAATGCTGTATTATACTATATGTCTTTAACAGTGAGTTATGTAGATGGAATTGAAATGAAAACCGTCAGTTCTGTTAATGCTATTTGGACTTGCATCGCCTGGGTCGCACTTAAGTTAACATTGAGATCTCTCTTACACACTCACACACATATTCACATACACACACACATACACACACTTCGACGTTAGGGGAAACAAAGGTGGCTGGGTATTGTGCTGAATAGGCTAATTCTTCAAATGCCGAGGTCTCAGAAACAGTTGAACTCTACTTCATCTGCGCCTTGTGTGTCTTGGACAAGAACCGGAAATGGTGATGATGAAAATATAGATGTAACACTATAAAGTTTGCGTTGAGTGATTTTAATTAAATGTGTATCCTTTGATTAAACTAAGGAGGAAGTACCACCTCGACTACGAAAAAATGACTAACAGATTCGCAAAAATAAAACTATTTTACATACACACAAACATGTGTTACCATAGTGTATAATATCAGACAGCATTAATGCAGCTCAAAATTAAGGATGTATTAAGGATGGATGTACATTATAGACTACTATCGAGTTAATCATTCGAGTGTACAAATGCCCTATATTTAATTTGGCAGCTAAATTATCAATGGTTGATAATGTAATGCCACTGAAGAAAATGAACAGCAATCACCAACACACGATTTTAGAATATAAATGTACGATATTAAAAAAACAACTGAGGCTAGCTAGTGCTCAGTGGGGATTTAAATCGATCATAGAGTGATTCGATTAGAGAAGCTTTACCCTGTCTGATTACATGTCTGGGTAGTTATTGATTGGTTAAAGTAAGGCAAGTATATATCTTATAATACATTAAATTTTGGAGCACATAATCACAGCAAGCTACACTGTAAGAGTATAAATATTTTTGGCTGAAATTAATTTTGAACGTGCAAATTAATACGTGATTATTAATTTCGGGTGCGTTTTTGACAATGTATTCCTAAAATGATACATATTAATAATACAATTCGTATCATTTTAAGAATACATTTTTAAAATTAATATACTGTAAGTAATAGGTCGTAAAAAAATGATGTAAATACAAAATGTGTGTATCTTGCAGTTAGATCTTGAGATAAAACAATTTTGATTTTTATAAACAGATTAAATAGAACAGGCATGCTATACCTAATACTATTGGCAGCCTTGTTAAGCATGGCTGCGTCAAGAGAACCGTAAGTCGAATTTATTGCAAACGAAATTCTTACTATTTAAAAAAAAAATAATAGCATGTATATTATTTATGAGTCAATGATTTGTGATTTTACGTAATTAGGCACAAAAATGTGATTGACAGGTTGGCTATGCATTTATTTTATTTATTTTTTTTTTTGCTTTTCCACTTAGATCTATATGTTTGTAATAAGTTGAAAAAACATTTTTTTTTCTTTTAACAATAATGCTTATAAAATGTTTTCTAAAATAAAATTAGATTTTAATTTCAATCTGTTCAAATAAGTTATTTTGAATATAAATAAATTTGAGTCAAAAATTAAAATACAAACCATTAAAAAGACAACCGTCTAAGTTTCACCCTATTGTATCGTCCAAAATAAAATAAAAGCAAAACTAAATGGTGCACTATTAATTTAAATCTGATTCTTATCCATTATAAGTAAATACTTAAATGATGTGTCCTTCTAATGTGTTTGTTTTGCAAATCAGTTGGTTTAATGCAGGCATAATTTAATTAAAGCAATAATAATGATGATCTAACTTCGAAAATGGGCAAATTAACCATTCGCTGAACAAACAACAACAATATACATTTATTTATATTGATATATTTAATAATAATAAATTCATATATATATATATATATATATATATATATATATATATATATATATATATATATATAGTAATGCGGAGACTAAATTATATTTCTTTATGCTGAGCAAACGTTAAATTTGTTCTCAGAAGTTCGTGGGTCCAGAAGAAAGAGTGCGCACATGAAGGTTACCAATGTAAAAATCTACCGTGCTGTTATCATCTCAAATGCAGGTCATATAACAGAAATTTTAAAAAAGGCTTATAAAAAGGTTTAATAATGCACTAAAAAGGAGGAAAAAAAATGATTTATTTTGAGAAATTATTTAATAATACACTTACATTTAAATATTTTTAAAAAAAAGCGTGGGCTATATATTATCTATTGGATTCCTTTACTAATATTTAGGGAGAGACCCACTCTTTTCTTTATAGTTATTTAAATAGTAGTGTTCTTCTTCTTCGTTCTTAATTTTGAATGTTGGAAGGGATCGAGCCTTAGCTGCCAGAGAGTTTAACTCGAGACTGTTTCGAATTTATCAACCATGAGCTTTTTGTCGACTCGACCACGCCTCCATCACAATTAGGCGTTACGTGTTAACGGGTTATGCGCCATTGAGGCCATTGACTCAGATTTCAGCCTGCTTTTCTTTTTGGATTTGCTTCCATAGCCTTTGACCAACCAAGAACAAACTGCAAGGCAGCATTTGTTTTGATTTTGGAGTTGTCTCTCCTAGAAGAGTGGCTGTCCCCAGCTAACGAGCCTCATCTGCCCGAGGATTCGAAGTGTATAGTTACACATATCGAGAAAATCGTTTTTTGTCTACTTTGTAGTGTATTATGTTATCAAAACGTTTTTTTTTAACATTTTTTACTTTCTCGTATACATATTATAGATAAAGTATTTTAATCGTACATAAAAATCACATCGAATTTTGACAGTTTTCATCGTTTTACACCTCAGTACTTCATGATATACGGAGTAAACGGACTTATTTTAATCGGGCAAAAATAATGAATGCAGATTTATCAAAATTTCGGCGTTTTATACGTTATCGAGTCGGAAAAGCTGGGCTTTCTAATTATGTCCGTATGTCTGTGTGTGTGTGTGTGTATGTGTGTATGTGTGTGTGTGCATGTGAACACAATAACTTGTGTGCCGTTACAGCTAGGTTAATAACATTTCATATATAAGTATTATATAAAATATATAAACTTTTTAGCGATTTCCAATACACCGGAAGTGGAATAAATTTTATTTTTGGTTTTTCAAAAACCTATAACTTGAGTTACTGTTTCAGATAGATAAATGAAATTTCACATGTAAGTAAAAGATCTAATTCTCTGCCTTCGGTCAAATATTGAGTAATTTCCGTTGAACGAAAGTAGTGATTTACGCTATTTCCGATTTCTCAAAAAACGCACATGAATTTATAAAGTACTTATAGCCTGCTTTATTATACATATATTGTTTGCCGTTCACTGGGCGCTCAACTATTTTTTCCACGTGATTTTATTCTATGTTAAAAACTTTAAGTATTTAAAAATGGATTAATAACAGTTGCGGAACTTAGAAAAAAAGGGCCACCCGGCAAAAAAAATTCTGCCCCCCCCCCCCTATATATATATATATATAAATATATATATATATATATATATATATATATATATATATATATATATATATATATATATATATATATATATATATATGTAGCTAATTAATTATAATGTGCTTGTTTCTCTAGGTATAATTTTCTTAAGAATGACTATTGGTGCTCAAAAATTGCAACCTAAGATCCAGAACAAAATACATCGTTCTATTCAGTGCCTGGGTTGCATTACTTTTAAAATATTTTTTGTCAAACTGTAATTGCCATAAGTTTTTTAATAAAAAAATAATTTGACAGCTGCTTTGATTTGTGAAGTTATTTTGAGCACATTATTGACAGTTCTGGTTAAGCTATTTCCAAAGGACGAAATTCAATTATGTTCTCTGTTTAAACTGTAAATGTCCACTAATGCCGATGTCCACGCATTACGTCATCACAATGTCGATCTCCAATCATTACGTCATCACACATTTGATGTCCACTATCTGTAAATTTTTTTGTCCTAAACAAATTTTAATATTAGAAAAAATATTTAAAATATATGAACCACGTCAGTTTCGGCTAATAGAAAATAGATTACTGCTTTCCACTTAGCAAATGTCATTAAAAACGTATTACATTTTAAAATAAACCGGGAGTGATCTCCCCTAAACTTTCTCGAATATTCTAATATAAAATTACGAGGGATGGCAACTCAGGACATAGACAATATTTGTTATCCATTTTTAATTACTTAAACTTTTTATAATAGAATAGAATCTCGTAAAAAAAGGATTGCGCACCAAGTGAAAAGTTTCCCTTTCAAACCTGACGGACTGTGTATGGGGCAAGTGAAGTAGAGTTCACGTGTTTCTGTGACCTCGGCATATGAAGAGATAGTGTGGTCAGCACTATGCCCAGCCGCCTTTACTTACCTTAACAGGAGTAAGTTATCCATCAGAGTTGGGTGGACTCAGGGACTGTCTACTGACTTGAACTCGGATTCGAACTCAAGACTTACGGGTTAGCAGTCCAGCTCTCTACCGCTTGACCACTCCGTCGCACACCAAGTGAACGCCTAATAAAATGTGTATAAAAGTGCGGGATATTATTAGTACTTTATAAATTTACATGCGTTTTTTGAGAAATCGGAAATAGCGTAAATTAGTACTTCCGGTCAACGGAAATTACTCAAAATTTGACAGAAGGTAGAGAATTAGATTTTTTACTTATATGTGAAATTTCATGCATCTATCTAAAATAGTACGCAACTTATAGGCTTGTGAAAAATTCAAAGTAGAAAAAGTACCACTTCCGGTTATCGGAAATCGCTCAAAAGTTGACCGGGATCTACGATTTTGATAAAATACTTATATATGAAATTTCATCAACCTAGCTGTAACGGTACTCAAGTTATCGTGTTGACGCACAGAGAGACAGACACACAGACAGACACACAGACATACGGACAAGATTGCAAAATTATGTTTTTCCGTATCAGTGAGGTGCACGATTACAAGACTTTCTTTATACTTCGTATATACGAGAAAGTAAAAAGATTACTCTTACAGTGGCGTCGCGAGCGGGATCGTTGGGGGATCGCACCGGGTAACACCCGACCTAGCAACGCCACTGATTCTTATGGACCAGATGTTTAAAGAAGGAATTTAAAATGAGAGTATATATGTTTAACAACCTTACATAAGGTGGTATGTTCATTAAAGATTGAGGCAGGTAACCAAAAGAGCTGAGTCGGCTCAGGTACGCACTAAAAACACGAGACTTTTAATTAAGTCGTCGCGCCATGCTCACATATGACGTAATTGAACATCACATAATAAACCACCCTAACCCAACTCTGTGTGTTGTATAATGTGGGTGTTGAAAAGTGTTGAAAGTGAGACCATGAACTAACTTTCCAGACGGGTAAAGTTATCTACATTGTAGACTGTTATGTAATATACGTTATGGACGGTTAATGTGTTCTACATTCTAGACGGTCAATGTGTTCTACATTCTAAACGGTAAATATGATCTACATTCTATACGGTCAATGTGATCTAAATTCTAGACGCTTAAACTGATATACATTCTAGACGGTCCGTGTGATCTACATTCTAGACGGTCAATTTGTTCTACAATCTAGACGGCCAATATAATTTACCTTCTAGACGGTCAATTTAATCTACATTCTAGACGGTTAATGTGATCTACCTTCTAGACGGTTAATGTGATCTACCTTCTACACAGTCAATATGTTTTATCTTCAACGTGGTCAATTAGATCTACATTCTAGACGGTCAATGTATCTAGGCCTACATTCTCTAGACGGTCATTGATATCTACACAGTAGAAGGTCGTTGATATCTACACCGTAGACATCTAATGTGATTAATATTTTGTAGGGTCAGTACGATCTACACTCTAGACTCTTTCACCCAACGAGTTGCCCTATAAACCCACATAACGCCATCAGGTTCAAAGCGTCCATACAATATACTCCCCGCTCGCGTTAATATTTTAAACTTTACTTGGCTGATCGCCATAATTCCCACAGTTAATCCTGACCCTGATCGTAATCAGATAACCCACTAACCTACAGTAAAGGCGGCTGGCATAGTGCTGACCACACTATCTCTTCATATGCCGAGGTCACAGAAACCAGTGAACTCTACTTCACAAATTCCATCTACGACACATGGGGCAGATGAAGTAGAGTTTATCTGTTTCAAGATCTCTGAAATCAGAGTTGACTGTACATAATGCGATACACTAAACCCCAGTCCAGATACAATCGAATTTTTCTTCTCAGTATTTGTTTTTGCGACGTTTCATTACACAGCCGCACTCTTCGCATAATCAATAATCAATGCTATGATTTCATTGTCTACTGCTAATGAATCCTTCTTTTTTTCATTGAATGTAAGGCCTAGTTGTAATAAAAATATTACACACAAATTAATTGTATACATTATTTTATTGTTTTAATCACTTTTGAATACAGCCCAAAACTCAACCTCTTTCATTAAATCATGCTAGAAAAAAAATCAATTTAAATCTAAAACACAGAAGAGGCTTGCGGTCTTGTTTGATGCCAAAGATCTTCCTATGGAAATCAGGCACTGAAAGGTTATTGTTTATATTATAATATAACACAATAGATATTGTAGCTCTTGGGTAGTGTAAGAAAACTTCGGTAACAGTCCTTATTTAAGGCTTAAAAACAGCAGTCTACCGTTTATATACAGCTAAACAAGGTCAGGAGTGTATGTGCGATATATATATATATATATATATATATATATATATATATATATATATATATATATATATAATAAAAAGAACCATTTAAAGCTTTGAACATATCAATTGACTATGTCATATAGGCTATATTTATATTTAAAATATATCTCTATCTCTTGGTCTTGGGATAAATATCAGTGTTGTTTTTTAAGAATAATTTGAGGTTCTTTTATGTGCAATACTTTATCAATATATACATACATTACCTTCATTTTTAGTTTGAAAAACAAAGTCCAGCAAATACACTGCGAATGTGAATATTATAAATATATATATATATATATATATATATATATATATATATATATATATATATATATATATATATATATATATATATATATATATATATATATATATTGTCCGATATCCTTAATTAATTAATTAGAAATATTTTCACAGATAAGATATGTGACGTAGTAGCCGAGACGATTGTATGCACACAAAAAATGTAAAGTTATGTGTTCGACATTGATGCGGACATTATATATTTTTTTTAAACTTCTTTTTATTTTTATCACTTAAACGTTAGCTTTGTTGCTTTGTTTATTTATTTACGCGGTGTTCCTGTTTAATTTCCAATATTATTCCAATTGTATCATACATTTTCGTTTGGATACCTTTGGGAGATCTTCAAATTAAAAACAAATGAAGAAAGCAATGTTTGTTTGTCTTGTATTATTTACATTTGAATGCGCGACTCACTGTTGAATGACTTTTTTTTGCAAAAAAAAACAACAACCCAAGAATTAAAAAAAAAAACGAACAAATAGTAAACAACAAATAAAAACAAGAGACAAATATTGGTTAAAAAACCATAACAAAGACAGCTATACATAACCGGATTTGTAAAATAAAATATTACTTTGTTTAAATGAACTGGAAATAAGTTGAAAATACACGAAAAACATGGTATTTTTTCTGCGAATATATTTCACATTGTGGCAGTGGAAGAAATTAACATAAAAGAAACTGAATTAAAGACAATGATTCGTCTTAGGGGTCGTCCATAAATGACGTCACAATCTTAAGGGGGAGGGGGGGGTCCGTAAATTGTCACGGTGTGTGATGACGAAGGGGGAAGGGGTGTTTCAGGTGGTGTGACGTCAAACTTTTGCATTATAAAAAAATGCTAGAAAACGAATTTTAGCCGTTATTTCGCGTATTAAAAAATCTGTTTAAATAAAGCGTAATAAGAATAGATTAAAATGCTCTATGATGATAGAGTTCAGACAAGATTTTTGGAAAATATGGATGTTTTAAGAAAAACTAAACTGCAATTGTGAGAGGGGGGGGGTTAGGCTGATGTATGACGTCATTTTTTGTGGGGGGATGTGGCATTTTGTGACGATGTGTGACGGAGGGGACGGGGTATGTAAAATACGTCAAAAAAGCGTGACGGCATTTATGGATGCCCCCCTTATTACCTGCAGTAGTATCCATCGCAACATATTAACTGGCTAATGGTGGTGTACTAGGTCTTATAGTGCGTGAGCTTTTACAATTTAAATTTCCGGGTAAATTTTCATCCAGATTAGGCTTATCATCAGGCACTGGTGGAGGAAAATGTACAATGACAATGTCTTCTTCTTTTCTTCCTCTGCGTTCTTAATTTTAGTGTTGGAAGGGATCCCCTCCAACACAGTTAAGTATATGTGTCAACTGGTTATGCGCCATTAAGGCCATTGACTCCGATTTCAGCCTGCTTTTATTGTTGGATTTACTTCCATAGCCTTTGTCTAAACACGAACAATCTACAAGGCATCAGTTGTTTGATTTTGGAGTTGTATCTCCTAGACTAGTGGCTGTCCCCAGCTAATCTCCCTGAGGGTTCGAACTTGAGACTTTTCGGTTTAGCAACCATGAGCTTTAACGACCACGCCGAACCCCCACATTGACAAATGTGGTCTGGGGTTGTGGTCCATTTTTTTAAACTACCCAACAGCCAATCCAACCCTGGTTTAAGATTTAAAAAAAAAAAAAACAACAACATACCGTTTCTCTAGATATCCCGCTATCAAATGTTAAATAAAAAAACAAACATACAATTTAGATGTTAAAATTGATCTTTTGTATAAGAGACTTTAAACAGTAATAAAAATGAAATAGTCACGGTGTTTGCCTTTAAACGTATTGAGTTCTTGAAGTACGTAAAGACGGACTGGCCTAGTGCTTACACAACTCTGTCATAGCTTAGATAGATAAAATAAGACTAGACTGGTAGAGACTAATAAAGACGGTGTAAATTTTACGGTAGACAATTTGGTTCGAGAGTATAGGGCTGGTAAGTAGGTCACCAACCAGTTCTATGGCTCATGCAGGTTTTTTGAGCCGTAGAACTGATTAGTGACCTAATTACCAGCCCTATTGTGTGCGTGTTTAATAAAATATTTGTGGCGTGAGTTTGAATTGAGCGTGACTCGACAATGTTACCGATAACGTAGGACGCAACATTGAAGACGGGGGTTAGCCATTGTAGGAAAATGACTTGTTTTGATATTGTGTAGTTCTTGTATTTGATAATAAAATTAATTCTATTTTATGATCGAAGTTGTTTATATCGTCAACTTAGTCCTCAATACATATTAATAGTAATATACTAGGAGTGTTAGTTATAGCAGTAGTCACCATATAGTTTAATATAGCAACGCATACATTTCACCCCATCAAAAAACCCTTCACGTGTCGAGGTGAAGATGTACATGAACTCTACTTCTCAAATGATCGCCATTTGAAATTATCTTATTTTCATGTACGTTTTCAGGTATTGCAATAGACATGCACGCAGTAATTCCCAAATATAAATATATGATCAAATCTATCTTATATACAAACTATCAAACATTCCCGATGTACCAACTTTGAATCAACCGCTACATCTAACTACTTTATGTCATCCTTCCAAGATAAAAATAGAAAGTAAATAAAGAAAATAAAATCTACAAAGAAGCCGACCCAGATTATTCACTCAACTAGCGGTGAAGTATAATTCTAGCGCTTTTTTCCTAAGGTTCTTCACAAGAATATGTTAACGTTAGTAAACCTATAGCAATACAACATGTTAACATATTACCTCTGTTCATCAGCATGAACGAAGTGGCTGTTGCAAGCAATACCATCAGGACCACAGCAACTTTAATGTTCAACATGTTCGCGTTTTCACTTTGCCAGCTCCTCACTGAATGCTAAGGTAACGTAGCTTAATGGTAGGCACAATGTAAGTTAATTTAACTTGTATGTAATTGGTTTTGCTAGATAATGTAAACAAACTCAGGAAATCAATTTTTTTTATTTCTCATCCAAAAAGAAATACGTAGTTCTAAAATTTCACAGTCAAAAAGGAACCTATGGAGTTCTATTTACACTAAATTGCAAACATTTCACATAATACGGAACTTGGTGTCTTTATATTACTATAAATAGGGAACCTTGTTTCATTACAATCCTAGGGATAATCCGCTTGCTTTGACACGCGGACCTGCCATTTTTAATGTGAAAGCAATGTTGTTGTGATAAAAAAATAAATCGATGGATTGACATAAACCTGATTTATATTGATTGTTGATCGAATAAGAAATTCGGAGCAAATGCCTATCGGTCCAATATATATATATATATATATATATATATATATATATATATATATATATATATATATATATATATATATATATATATATATATATATATATATATATATATAAATAATAAATAAATACATATATATATATATATATATATATATATATATATATATATATATATATATATATATATATATATATATATATATATATATATGCGGTTGATAATCACCTGCAGATGTTTTAAGAAGTTTAGTATATGTATATAGTGATTTTGGTATGAAAACATGAACGCAGACTCGCGGGCGTGATGAGTGTATTCAACTCTACACTCGGGAATAATCCAATCACGAACGCTTTAGAAAGCAGAGCCGTCAAGCTTGTAATACTAGCGTGTTAAACTTTCAAGCTAGCAAGTCAAGTTCAGAGTTTCTTTCAGGCATCTCTTCAGTGGAGCTCACCCCCACCCCCAACTAAATAGTAATTTATCAAGGAAATTTTGGTTTATTCCTTAAAAAAATAATTAAAAATCTATTTCAGACTAAGGTGATGTTAGATTGCATTGTCATTGGGTCTTGATCCTTTTGCCAAGTTTCAAAGAAATAGCTCTGAGAGAAGTCGTCAAAATGTCGCTCGCCTTTTTTATAATTGACGGACCAAGCACGACATACGTAGGAAGCAAGTTACATTAAAGCTTGTAAAAATGATCGTCTTCATATGTATGCCTACACAACATAAACCATACAACACACAACATAAACCACAATTTCTTTCTTTAAAAAAATATAAACTTTTTAATTACGCATAATAACTTGATTTAATTTTAATATTTTGTTTACATATCGTAATATTTTAAAAATAGATTGTTCTCTCTATTAAAAAAAATAAAACGAGAAACGAGTTGATCAATAACTTGATAAAAGCTTGTTATTAAAACGTATTTTTATGAATTTTTTTTCAGTACTTTACATGTTTTATTTACAATAGTTACATGACTAAAAACCATTGTCAGGTTTATAACTCAAGTTTCAGTAGAGTATTATGGGATTGCGTAGTCTTGTGGTAAAGAACTAGACTGCTGACCCGACTAAAAACCATCGCGCGCCGATTGAACGTGATGACGTGCTTTTGACTTAGAGCCCCCTCCCCTCTCGCTCGTCACCCAACACGGCGGTGATGACGCGTGTGGATATAACTGCCTACTAATTCGGTCCAATTTTTAATTAATTCATAAAAAATTAATTAGGCAACCAATTAAGCCAAATTGATTGTCACGATGCATTGTCTTCATGTCTTAACACACGTACCAACTACGAACCGTAACTATCAGTTAGAAGTGCCTGCAATTTCACACGGGCGTTTCGATCTAGACAGACAGACAGACAGAGGACGTGAGTGTAATAAAAGCTTGTAAAAATCTAATTTATAAATTATTTTTGTAATTAATGAAGAACAAACAGCGGGAAAAAACGAAGTTGTTAAAGACACGTTTAAACATTTTTATAATCTTCATTAGAAGGAAAACGGTGGGTTTGTTTCGAACAATTTACTCCCGAGTTGGATGGGGGTGAAGGGGGTGGTGGTGTTAGACAAGGCATTTGAGATATCTCACTGGAGTTGGTCAAAATAAACTTTATCAGCACTATACGTGTTTTATGGGCCCGAGAAATTTCATTCAGTCAAGTTATCTGTTGCTAGACAACTGAGTTTTATCCGGACTTCATACCCGGTGTGTGGTAGGGTAGGGGAGGGGTGAGTTAAGGCTGTAAGATTGTGGGACAACTTATGGTATCAAGACGACCTACCGCGTATTTAGCCTAATGCGCATTTTTACTCGCATCAGTTGATCACGTGTTCGCACGCACGTAGATACATGACCCTGAGGCGGGGGAGGGGATTGCACCAACACAGGAGTTTCGGTGGTGGAGGGAGGCAGAATGTTGAAAACATATATTGAATTTCTTCTTCGTTGTTAAATTGTAATTTAATGTTGGAAGGGATTAATTTCAACACTGACTATGCGCTGTATAGTCCGTTTTGTTTTTCCTATTTCAGCCTGCTTTTCTTCTGGATTAGCATTTGTCAGTCGGTAGAAAAGCAATCAAAAGAGCAGCAACCACTCAAAACATCCCTCACAACACCTCCTCACAGCTCCTCATCACCACACCCCCTCACAACAACCCCCCCCCCCCGCACAACACCAATTTACATCACACCGCAAATGTTCCATATTATTCAGCGCTACTATATTTAAACATGGAGAAAAGCTTCTTCATTTGCTGTATTAATGGCGTTTTAATGGTATTTTTTAATGATTTATTTTTAGTACGGACACCATGCACAACACAGAATGATATTTAACATGAGAGCATCATTGAAAAAGTAGCGCAATACCTATCCTATATCAGCATTAGACAACACACAAACTTATGCTCATACGCAATCGTTAAAAACTAATTCCATGGATTTGCAAAGAACAAAAAATAAATTAATTTAAAACAAAACTAGATCTGTCCGATTGTGCATGCTCATATCACGTGCACCAAACTTAAATACTTTAATTTTCACAACAATTTTAATCTATTAAAGGTATGTGACGTCAAGCAACGGATGATCACCCTTAGATCAGCGGTTCTCTAACTTTTTGGAGATAACTAAACCCCACCAGCTTAATTGCGTATTCAACGAACCTCTCAAAATAGGATAAATAAATATGTTTTTTTTTAAATTTACTGGTGCACAAAAATAAACCACGCATCAACATCACTAAGATTAATTAACAAATTCAGCAAGAGTTGTGAATCTGTATTTTCTATCCCCGCGCAGCTTAAGAAAATATCCTCAACAGCTGCCTTATTGGCTAATGTCTGAGCAAGCGGCATATTCAAAGCTACAAAGCATCACCACTGCAGCATAGCAGTTCGAGCTGCAATAGCCTTGATGTTTTAGTTATTATTTTCTACCTCCCACATTTTTATTTTATATTTAGATTTGTTTGATTTATATTTATTTGAAACTATTTGATTTGACTATGTTTTTTGTTTTTGTCAATTAGAACAATATAAAATAAACAAATCAAGAAACTGCTAATTTGAGACTGGAGCCATCAAATCCGTCAAAGACATATTTAATAAAATAATCGTCATTACACGTGAATATGTGTCTATTGCTAAACGTAAACTAAAAAATCTACTTGTTTTGAAAGGACACTGTGAGTGTGAGGTCGGTGTGATTGGTTAAGTTAAGCTCATGGTTGCTGAACCATTAAGTCCAAATTTTAAAATAAACTGGTCACTTGTAAGTTGTTCTTGGTTGGAAAAAGGCTATGGAGGCAAATCCAAAAAGAAAAGCAGGTTGAAATCATTGGCCTTAATGACGCATAACCGGTTAAAAAGTATACTTTCTTGAGTTGGAGGGAATCCCTTCGAGACTAAAAGTTAATAACGAAAATGACAAAAAGGATACTATTTATTTACACGTAAATAACATAATGTTTTGTTTTCTTTATTTCATAGTAAATAAAATAAATGATCAACGACTTGGTAGTTGAGAGAACAGTCACATTGGTTAAGAACATCATTTGAAGTCTTTTTTTTTTTCTGTCACACAAATTCACTTTAGCTTTTTTGTTGTATCTGTGGGACAATCTATATACTACTAAAACTCAACTTTGTTTACATGTTTGAATATTTATTTGTTTGTCTGATTTACTATATCAAATGGTTCTACTCATCCTGGAGAGCTGTATGTAGTACGTAGGTAGAGAACAATTTTTGTTTTAAGACAGACTGTTAGTCACAAATTTATTTAAAGACGTTAATTAATTTATTGAATTATTCATAGGTAGATTAACCACACATTTTTTTAAAAAGATTAGAAAAACCACTAGAGTCGACGAAACAGTGATGTCACATTTTTGTTTACTTTTTATAAAAATAAAATGGCGACTTCCATCATAGCCCCATTTAAAAGTTTAACGCATTCTAAATCTAATTTTCTGTCGGCCATAACTTTAACAATACGTCCGTTTGCTGTTTTTATTACGTTCCAACACTTATATAAATTTTCAACTGTCTTTTTCATTTAGTTTTACAATAAATTTCTCTACAATCTGACCAAGAAAGTTATTTATAGATCTATCATGTGGCCAAGCAAGTTATTTATAGATCTAGATCTAGAATCTAGGTCAAACAAAAGATTAATTAGATACATACCAAAGATTAAGTAAATAAAAATACAATCCATTTTATAATCATAATACATTTTTAGTCCTTAAATACTTGATATAAATCTTTGTGATATATCTATCTAGATCTAGATTATCTCTCTCTCTCTCTCTCTCTCTCTCTCTCTCTCTATATATATATATATATATATATATATATATATATATATATATATATATATATATATATATATATATTTCTAATAACATACATTATTTATTTGGATTATATTTAAATAGATTATAGTGGTCATTCATATATGACGTGACGCTTTTTTGGAAGATTTTTACATTCCCCTCCCCTTGGTTACACATTGACACAAATAGTCAGACCTCCCCCCCCCTTTAAAATGACGTCACACCTCAGCCTACAATCCCCCTCACAATTGCAGTTGAATTATTCTTAAAATACGACATTTTT